TTGTTAATTAAGATACTAATTGCATACAATAAATTTAACCAATTTTAAGTGGACAATTTGATGAATTCTGGTAACTGCAAATACCATTGTGTAACCACTTCTACTATTAAGATGTAGAAAAATTCCTTCACCCTAAAAAATCTGAAGACTAGATCCTATCCTTTTCTGCAGCTTCATCAGAGTATTGCCTCCCTGTGAGACCAGGCCTGAAGCAGCTGGGTATTCTGCCCGTCTTCCTTCCTTCCATTCTATCAATCTTCCATTTTTCCAAATATCTACTCTATTTACAAAGATATGTGTTAATTTTGGGAAACTAAAATGATATAGAAAGGTATATAAAAGGAAGAAAACAATTCATTCAGTTTTACCACCCAAAGACTACCACCATCAGCATTTTGATGATTTTTTTTCCAGATGTCTCTTTATGTAAAATAAAAGTAGGCTATCTTATTATAATGAACTGGTTAATTTAATTCTTACAACAACTATGTGTAGTAGACCATATTTTAACCCCACTTTCCAGGTAACAAAACTAAAGAAAAGAAAGCTCCAGTAAATTGTCTCAACTTACATACCTTAGTAAGTGGTAGTACTGACATTCAAATTCAGGGAGTCTGACTCCACCGTACAAGTGCTTAACCATGATTCTGCACTCTCTCCCATATATGTGCATCTGTATGTATTCTTTGTATGTTAAGGTAATCCAATTACATCTCATGGTTATGTCTACGCACTAACAAATATGGATAATTGCATGATCTTTTACAGTATCGGTGTTCTGTGCTACAATTACCATGGCATATTTATTTAACCAATCCCCTAATTTTTGATATCTAGTTTGTTTTCTATTTTTCAATATTATAAACAACATTGAAAAGAACATTCTCTGCACTATTGTCCATGTAATTCCTTAAGATAAATTCCTGGTAATGGGAATCCTTAGTCAGAGTGTATGCACATTACAGATTTAATATGTAGTCCAAAATTGCCCTCCAGAAAAGTTGTACTTACTTCTCCAGCAACTGAGCATGAGATGGTTCCTTTCCCTGTATCCTTGTCAACACTGGTCTCTATCCTCACCAGCTTTTGTTTTTGTATTTGTTTTTAATAATCTCTTTTAACCTGAAAGTTAAGAAATCATATTACATGTTATTTTATTTCATTTACTTATTAATGGAGCTAAGCAGTTAGTCTTTTAAAATATACAATAATGCATATATATTCACCAAAAATAGTCAAATAATACAGACTTATGTTAAGTAAAAGTAGAATTCCCATCTCCCATTTTTCTCATCAGAAGTATCATTGTATCAGCTTTGTATATAACTTTGTATAGCCTTTAGTATCTATTTATATATCTATGTATATATATGTTTAGTTTTCCTTTGATACAAATGAAAACAATTTCTGCAACTTGCTTTTTACACTTGAAAATATGTCTTAAACAATTTTTCATTTTTCTGTAGCTGTTACACATTATTTCAGTGTGTGGAGGCATCATAACTTATTTAACTAGTTCTGTCAATGAAAATTAGGTTAATTAAATACATATTTATATAGCCAATGAATATATAGTAAGTTCCTACTATGTACCAGGACCGTTCAAGAAATAAATAACAAATAATACTGTAAATTAATAAAATATAATAAATAATATTATATGAAAACATATATATATATAACAAAAATTATGTAATAAAAAAGTCCCAGTCCTGATATTTCTGTTTACAAATAATGTTGCAGTGGACATTCCCATACATTTTTGCTTATACGACTGCAAAACATTTCTGTAGGAGTGTAAACATTTAAAATTTTGATATATAAACATATAATAGAACATCAATAATTACTAGTTAAGGAAAGACTGCTCTCTAAAGTTGTTATAAAATTAATAATAAGCAGGTGTTTTATTTGCTGTGCACAGTGATTACAATTTTAAAAATTAGTTTCCAACATCAAAAAAAAGGAGTTGATTAAAATAAAGATTTCTATCATCTTTTGGAAAATCAGAGGATCTGATAACACCGGGTCCACATTTGCACAGGGCAGCTACAGTAAAGTGATGACTAAGTGGTGGTTTGCCATAGTCCACCATTCCAAATGGTCTTATACCAGGCTATTTCATTCATTTATGTTACCTGATTGGCTCCTATAGATTCTGAGTTTGCTGTTCTCCATTAAGGAGTAGAAGTAGAGGGAAAGAGATAATCTAAAGGAGCCTGAATGACTCTCAGGCTTATCATGTTTAACCATGACTTCATGCAATATATTAATTCATACAATACAATTTGTGTCTTTTAGAAAAGGGGTTGGTTACCTTGAAAGCAAAGAAAAAGGAAATTCAGGAGGTGAAAGATGGCAATGCTCTTCCAAGTATATCTTGGAAACAGGATATTTCAGCCAAAATAACCAGCTGGCTACTTCAGTGACAGAAATAGCTTAGTGGTTAAGAGCAAAGACTTTAGAGCTAGACTGCCTAGGTTTGAATATTGGTCCTGCTAATTATTAGCTCTAGGACTTAAGGCAGTGCTGTGGACTGAATGTATCACCCCAAAATTTTTATGTTGGAGCCCTAATTCCCCAGTGTGATGGTATTTGGAGGTGAGGTAATTAGGTCATTTATTTCCCTAAAATAATCAATATGCTAAAATGGTATTCATGTACCCTCATGAATAGGATTAGTGCTGTTATAAGAAAAGAGTCTCTCTGCCATGTGAGGATACATCCATCTACCCAGGAAGAAAGCTCTCACTAGAACCTGACCATACTGGCATTCTGATCTCAGACTTTCCAACCTCCAGAACTGTAAGAAGTATCTGTTGTTTAAGCCACCCAGAGCAGGTATTTTGTTAAAGCAGCCCAAACTGACTAAAACAGGCAGGTTATTTAACTTCTCTGGGCTCAGTTTTCTCATCTGCAAATGAGAGTAACAATGTATCCTGCTTCATAGGTTTGCAGCCATATTTAAATGTCATTATACATGAAACACTTAGAAGAGTGCATGGGCCATATAAGTTGTCATTATTAATATAAATGCATCAGACACTCATATAACGATGCCTTTTAAATTTATGGTCCAAATAATTACCTAATTCATTTTTTCCCTAAATCCTCCCCAGAAATCCTTCTGATGACTCCCTGTATGTCATGACTTCAGGGAGATGCATTGGTTAAAAATGCAAATACTTTAACGCTCTCTAAGGAGTAAGTACCTATAGAGTTTTTGATCTGATTACCCTTGTCTTTATCAATCAGTACATCATTGAGATGTGCTACCAAGGAGGCAAAATTCAGCAACAAGTTTGCAACTTTTTATTGCCAGCAACAGTGTTTGTCAATGAAGAGTATCCCCCAAGTAAACTGGCAAGGGACTGAAATGTTTTGAGGCTGATCTTCCATTCACCTATTTTGTTGGCTCTACAAACTAATCCACAGTCATTTTTAACAGTTTGAGATTGTACGAAGTGAAATCACAATGCCTTGGAAAGGTGAATCTTGGGCAAGTCATTTCAAAATATTATAAAAGGAATTATTTTAGACTATACTGATATAAAACCTATTAACTTGTTATCATTGACTGGGCTGCTGTTACCTTTACACTATCCATGTAGAACACTGCATATAAGGGTCTTGCTAAGCCATCTGTTCTTGAAGTCTGGGCAAATTGCTAATCAACAAATGGATATTACTAGTTAAAAGTATGCTTCTCTTATTAACTTACGAGTTCTTTTAAAAACACTTTGTCAAATTTCAGTATTAGTATGTTACTATGTTCAGGATTAGTATATTAGTTTCAAAGTAAGTTAAAGCATTTCCACAAAAATACTGGTGTTGAAATTCCTCATTTTAACTTTCCATGACACTGGATAATCTGGCATCATCTTATTCATCCAATTTATTTTCCCTTCTCTCCAATATACCCTGACAACTCATCAGGCTGGTTTCCCCACTGCCGCTGAACACACATACTCATTCCTGTGCAGGGGAGGAAAAACTCTCCTCTACCATCTTATGTTCTCTGGCTAAGAATTAAACTCACATACGACAGGTTAACAGGCAAAAAGCATACAAGTTTTACTAAAATTTTTTATATGGACACAGGAGCCTTCACATAAGAATGAAGATCTCTGTTCAAAAGATGACAGAAACTATATGCCTTTATAGTAGGTTGAACCAAGAAAGGCAATTGTGGAAAAGTAAACTATGTGGAGAAGCAAAAGAAAGTTAAGAATGCATATATTAACAAGTTCTGTTTGCACAGATAATTTTTTGGCCTTGATTCCCCATTTCCTATCCTTGGCAATGAGAATGTCTTTCCCGCTCAAGCACAAGGAGGGCACCCTTTACATGGGAGTTTTATCTCCTGTTGTCAGAAATAAAAAGAATGTCAGAGTGCCCTTTTGTATCTGCTGTTTCTCAAGTGCCCTTAACTTAAAATAATCAATACGCTAAAATGGCACATTTTGGAGTGACATGCTCTGAACTTTTATCTGTCTTTTTAAAGCCCACCTACTCCTCTTGTTCATTTCTGCTCATCTTTCAAGTCCTGTTTTTTTTTTTTTCTAGCATTTACCCTGTGGATTCAACTCATGAGGCTCTTAACATATACATTACATAACTTGTTACTTTCAAAATATACCATCTTGTATTGTGAGTATTTGTTTCATGCATTGTCTAATCTCCGAGACTGCAAGCTCCGTAAATATTTGACTCCTTTGGTAAATATCCACGATCACAAAACTTTAAAACTACATTTTAGATGCTGAAACTGATATGCAGACTGTCACTAGGGGATACCAACCGTTACATACACAGTTGACTCTCCTTCAAGTTGGCAACTTGCCCTTCCACCTCCTTCCTGATTCCTTTTAAGCTCTATGTTTTTAAACAGCACTTTTTATTTTTTAAACATACTATGTAACTTTTTGGCTGTATATTGTCTGCCCTCTCCACCTTCCCATATAAACTCCATGAGGTAAGCGATTCTTGCCTTATTCACGAATGTATCTTAAGAGCCTAAAACAGTGCCGGGTACCTGAACGGCACTCAATGAATACTTGATGAATGAATTCAGAAGCTAGATTTTCTTCCTGCAAGGCCACTGCTCTTTGGCGATGAGGCTTAACCGACTTCTGAGCTTCTTTACACAAAGGGCCAAATCACGGGGAGCCTAGCTGTCACGGAACTAGCCCCAGAGGTAGGTTTGAGGGACTGAGGAGACAGAAGCTAAACAAAACTAAAGAATGCAGTTCGCTTCTTGGGGGCGGCTGAAGAGGCACGTACAAACTTCCTCTCCTTTTGCACGTCCACAAGTGTTTCAATTGGCAGCATAGGTGACTTTGAACATTCTCCTACCAAAACAAATGCAGGGCCACCGAGCCTGGGCTCTGCGACGCGGGCTTTGCCCTTCTCCGGGCAGCTTCAGTGCCCTCACTTAGGTGGTTAGGCCGCGCCTAAACAGCCTTCTTCTTCTCCGGGCCGGGACGTCCCCGCCACAGGCACAAAGCGCCAACGTGGTGCGTCCTCCGCGCCCAAGTGTCCCGCAGGCAGCCGCAGGGACCTCAGCGCCGGTCGCCTGACAGGCGGTGGGGCGAACACCCGGGCGAGGCCCCGCGACGCGTCACAGCGGGCGCGGCGGCGCCGCGGCGATTTCCCGGCTCCCCCCCGCGCCCGCGCACGCACACGCACGCGCACGCGCATTGCGCACAGCATGAGGGTCGCGGCTCTGATCAGGTAACGCGGCGCCGCTGTCGCCTTCTCCTCCCTGCCAGCCTCTAGTCCTTTCCCGCTGAGGGGCGGGAGCTGCCGCCGCCGCCGCCGCCGCCGCCGAACGGCGGGTGTCCCTGTGGGAGCCGTGTGTCCGGAGGTCGGCGGCTCCTCCCGGCCGCAGGAAGAGGCGGAGCCTCCGGGCTTTTCCCTGCCCGGCTCCCCGGTCCCGGGCTCGCGCTCCAACTCTCTGACCGTCGCGTGTCTCTGGCCTTCTGGCCCCCAAACTCGGACTCACACTAGATTTACCGAGGACAACTTTAAAAACTACCGGTGCCTGGGTCTCTCCGTCAGAGCGCTGGCTTAATTACTCTGACCCTGCCCGGGGTCGGATTCCCACAAGCTGTAATGGGCTGTGAAGTTTGAGAGGCGCTGCTTCGCGCCACTTACTGAACTATCGTCTCCCATTTCTCCTCACTTACTTCATCCTCTTCTGTAGTTCTCTTCAGTCTATTTGCCGGGCCCTCTTAAACGAGAGGGCAATGTTGGAAAATTTTTGCTAAATAATGTAAGATCTATATAAATGTTGGAAGACATGCTATACCTATATGTGAATGCATACATAATACATATGTACATTTATATACATAAGCACTTGAAAGTACTTGGATTTAAACTTAATACAGTGACCTGCTTGCAATATATATGTATATAGTGTGTGTGTGCACCAAAAGATGGAATATGTGTGTGTTTTATGGAATAAGTGAAACCAAGATACTTACATATCTATAGATGATGAACATTATTTTCCTAATACACAGAAGACTGAATCATTGAATTTTATGGTTGAATGACACCTTAAGGATTAGTTAGGCCATTCTCTAATTTTATAATGAAGCATGTAAACCCATGTAACTTAGCTTAGTATCCCAGAATTGGTGACTACAATTCTGATTTCTGTAGGACATTACACCTAACATATGCTTATGTACTTTGTGATATTCTAAGAAATGAATAAGGTACTCAGCATTTTCCTAACTTACTTAACCTTGAAAATCTTTTGTTCTTAAGAGTATTTGTTGGACACTAGTGTTCCACAAAACACAATTTGGGAAATACTATTTTAAAATCATATTTGAAATCTTAACATTTTAAAATAAAAGGCCAAGTTCTACCCTTTAATCTTTAATATTCTGAATATTCTAAAGAATTAGATCGTTTTGTCCTGTGGAAATGAAACAGTGAGGTTCAATCAGGGAAGCTGTGAAAGATATTCTTAGGGGAATATCAGAATCTGAGGAAAGAGCATGATGTGTAACTTCACTTTTCCCCTTGTCATTTCCCTCCCCTTGGAGAAATTCTGGAATGACAGTTGTTACTGTTCCGAGGCAGACAAATGTTGGGAACTAAAATAAAAGGCTAAAGGGCCAGCTTCTAGGATAATCATTCTCTTAGGTTCTTTCCATATGAATAAGTCTAAACATTGGTACATTTGCAGGGCTGAAGCAAAGATTGGAACGAAGGGAAACAGGAGGGAAAAAAAAGAGGAAGAGGGGCAATGATTTTTATGCATAGTGAGAAGCAGTAGAGTATTACACCAAAATAGTATAGAAGTTGCCATTCAGTCTTGTTGTAGGTACACTACTGCTGGTCTTGACTAAGTGGTTTGGTACCAGAATTTAGAAGTTCCTGTCAATCTGTTTATTAGATCTGTAACTCAGGTCTTATCCTGTCATCGTATGTAGTGATGACTGAAAGCTGACATTTTGATAGTACTGACGTTTAGCTTTCATCAGTGTAATTCAGCATTTTGCTTTCAGCTTCTGCAAAATTTGAACCCACCAAGTACATGCAATTTTGTCATTTGATTGAATCTCAGCATCTTTAATTTGATTCTTTAATTGGTGATGATGACCAGTTTTTAGACTTCTTGAAGTAGAACAGATGTATTTTCTACTTTTTCATAGAAAATTTCATCTGAGGAGTATATATAATAAGTGTTTAACTGGAATGTGAAATTAAATCATTTTTTATTTGCAAAGCACTTTGTGTATTAAGCAAAGCCACTATTGAAAACCAAAGAGTTACCATTTTTTGTTTAGAATACTCTTCATTGAAATGGCATGTAATTTCATAAGTCCTTATGAGTAGCAACCTTAGATGTTCAGATTCATTTGATCAGTTGCGTATGCTATGGAAATTACACGTGGTTTTTACATTCTAATATAAAATAGTCCCTTAAGGATTCAGAAGAGCTGAAAAAATAATGTATAATATTTTGATGTCTAATAATTCTATTTTGAATAATGGTCAGTAACCTGATATTTATTTATCTCTTTATTTATGTATTTTTTAGTGGTGGGAAGGATAGCTGTTACAACATGATGCAGTGCATTGCTGCTGGGCATCAGATTGTTGCTTTAGCAAACCTAAGACCAGCTGAAAACCAAGGTAAGTGTGTAAGTTTATTGGAAAGTTCTCTAAATGACTGAAACTCCCGCTTCATAATTGCATTCTATTGTATGCAGTATGCAAAGACATAAAAGAAACTCACGTATCTTTAGCACCTGTTAGATGCTACATTCTATGCTAAGTGTTTTCAATTGCATATCCTTTAATCCTCCAAAGAACTCCTAGAGAGTTTTATTAGAGAGGGATACTGAAGCTTAGAACCTTATAAATTTGTAGAATAATAGCTAGAACAAACTTGCAGAGTTGAGAGTTGAACCCTTTTACTTCAGAGTGCACTGCTGTTCCAACACAACACTTTCCCAAATTTTCTTGGCATTTCACAGGTAATAAGGTTCAGCTCCTTGGAGCTTGGGGAGTAAGACATATTAATAAATGATAATATAGGAATTTGATTACTAAAAGCATTCAGTTTAGCCATCTAATTTGTAAGCAAAATGTGAGACTTGAGGGAGGCATAGAGCAATACACTTCCACTTTTTTTTTTGTGGTAATAAGGACATGTACGAATAATCCACAGACCTTATTTTAGCAATTTTTTTCAGTTTTCTCCTCAGTGAAGCCTCCTCAATTAGAACTTTTTTTCTCTGTGTCTGTGTCATTGTTCAGATTTCCTTTTTTAATAAGGACACCAATCATATTGGATAAAGGCTCACCCCAGTAACGTCATCTCAAATAATTGTACCTGCAGTGACCCTATTCCCAAGTAAGATCATCTTTTGAGGTGCTGGGTATTAGGAATTCAACACAAGAATTTGGGAGTGACACAATACAACCAACAATATCTTTTTTAAAAAATCAGGATATAATTGTTGCATAATATTGTATTCATTTTAGATGTATAACATAAATGGTTTCCTATATGTATATATGGAAATGATTACCACAGTAAGTTACTTAACATCCATCACCACGCATAGTTATAATTATTTTCCCAGTTAGACTCTTAAAAACAGGAAAATATTCACTGATTTACTTTTTATACTCTTACTATACCCATACAACCATAGATATTAACTGCTAGAGTGTAATAGGGAAGATGAACACTTGTCTAACTTTATTACTACTATTCTAGTAAGATCTTTTTATTATCTCCTTTACTCAACTACTTTTAAGATTGTATTCTTTTGCTCCACTATTATTTTAGGCTAAATTAAATGAATATTATATGTGAAAATGCTAATCATAGTTCCTGGCATGAAGTAGGCACCCAGTAAATTTAATTGAATCTGAATCTAGTACTAAATACTTCCTTCTTTTTAATCTCTTCTTTCCTTTTTCAGTGCTTCCAGTCTATTGAATTTTTGGTTTCATATTGTTTTACAGTTGTTTTTAATTTATTTAGGTTTCATTGTTTTGTTTTTTTTTTTTAAGTCCTCAAATAGACTGTAAGCTTCTTGAGAGGAGAAGTCACATCTTCTATGTTCGTTTAATTGCTCCTCAGCACTTGGAACATCTCTGTGCCTCTGGTTCACTCAGAGTTTATTGATGGACAGATGAATAATGAACTAACTAGAATTAGCCCTGGAATAGCAAGCAGTTGTTTCAGTCAGATCTTTGAATTTTCATTCCTTCTGTGATTAAGACTCAAATAATACTGGAAGTGAAGTTGGAAGATAGAGATTAGAAATATTTTATAAGAAGAAATAGAACAGGTCCTGTAGAGGTCCTGTAGAGGGTCAGGGGTAAACACATGCTTTAGGATTTTGTACGGGGCTTCTGAAGATGAATAATAATAGCTTTTTAGAAGTGATGTGTTTAGAAAATGACCTACTATTTCTGACTTTAAATAATAAAGAGAAAATTCTTCAACTAAAGATGAATGGAAAATATACTGTAACTTCTATATTACAAAGAAGGGGCAGAATTTCCTTGTAGTATTGTGTTTGTTACCAGGAAAGAAATTCCTTTATCCCTTGTGGCCAGTCAGGCAAGTGGGTTTTTTAAGCTTTCTATCTTAAGAAGGTCTTGGTATGAAAAGCAGATTGTTTGTATAATGTGTAATACATATATGATATAATTTCCCTCTCTGGAGTTTCTACCTTGTTTTTAGCTTTTCTATATGAATTATTATAGTTACCTTGTATAGAATCATTAATGCTCATGTCTTCCTTGACTTACAGTGAGGTTATGTTGAAATATATAAGTAAAAAAGAAAATATCCTAAATCAAAAATTCATTTAATTCACCTAACCTACTGATCATAATGGCTTAGCCTAGCCTACCATCACTGTGCTCAGAATACTTATGTTGGCGTACAGTTGGGCAAAGTCATCTAATCAAAGCCTATTTTATAATAAAGTGTTGACTATCTTACATAATTTATTGAATACTATAGTGTGTGAAAGAGAAAAACAGAGTGGCTGTGTGGCTACAGAATGGTTGTAAGTGTATCAGTTTGTTTACCCTCATGATCACGTGGCTGACTGGGAGCTGTGGCTCTCTGTCACTGCCCAGCATCACAAAAGAGCATCAAAAAGCATCAAAAGAGCATATCATAGCCTGGGAAAAGAAGAAAATTCAGAATTTGAAGTACAGTTTCTACTCAGTGTATTGCTTTTGCACCATCGTCAAGTAGAAAAATCTTCCATTGAACAATTGTTATAATCTTCCATGTGCTCAGAGTTCACTAGCAGGGTTAGGAAGATGACAAGCAAAGGAGATCTTTAAATTATGCCTCATAGGTGGAATGGAGATATTTATTTAGAATATTGTTACTGAGAAAGAATTTAATAGTAAATGGAATTGGAATATTATAAAGTAAAAGCTGGAAAAAATCCGCTGAAGCTATAATTGTAGTGGAAGAGAATAGATGGCTGTGGGTTGGTAAATAGTGAGAGTTTAGCTAATCTTGATTTAAAGTCAGCAGGAAGTTGGTGATTATTGAATGATTCATTGACTGGCTTCTTTTCCCCCAAAACAGGAACATTAATGAGGGATGACTGGTAGAGAAGACTCCAGTACAAAGTTGGTTATTTAAAGGCTGAAATTTATTCACAGCCCTGAGTTTACAGTGGGTAGTCTGAAAAGGAATTTATCCCTATTAATGGGGATAAATGTGAACTTGTCATAAAATTCGCAAAGCCATCTCTTTAAATTTGTAGTAGGAACTTTTGTGGCATGTTAATTGAGGTGCTTCAGGCAACAGTGGAGCCTTTTGGTTTTATTTGATCTCATACCATTGTTGCTATGTAGCTTCCATTAATAAAAGTTACATTGTGGTTGGGACTGAATGGAGCCTTAAAGGAAAATTGTCTTCTAGGTTTTTGAAGTCAGTAAAATGTTATGCTAACATCAGGAAGTTTCTTGCTGAGAAGCTCAAAGTACTTTAAGTATATTAATTTGATTGTTATCAATAACCTTAAAAGTAATACATTTAAAGAGCTAGTCTAAATTTGAGATGAAGGTAGCCTGAAAGGTTTTTAGGTAACTTTGGCTATCTCCTACTTTCCTACTGGGACCAGGAGTAGACAGATTAATAAAAATAATATGAGTACGTGGAAGCCAATCTGTTGTGTGGGTTCAGAAACCTGGTGAGCCAAAATCTGATGGCATATGGTGGCAGCTTTGATAATTTACAGTATCATTTTCATGCCTTTTAATCAGATACTTTCACATTCAGTGGAAAGCCTAGACCATGTAAACATACATACACATATACATACATATATGTCAAATGTTGTTTTATAACATTTTTTAAGCTTAATAATGTATCATGAACCTTTTTCATATTATTAAGTATTATTCTACCATAGCATTTTCTGGATATTGTCTTTGAAACACAAATACTCCATGTAATATGTGTTCTGTGAATAAATTTGGGTGATAATTCATACACTCTCCCCTTATTAGAGCACCTTAAAGCACATTAGCCTAGGAAGAATTGCAGCAGACACCTGTTTAACATAGTTTATCCTCATTTTTTATAAATTTAATTGACCATTGAAATCCTTTTTTTAAATCCAATACTTTTTACTATCATGGGATTTTTATTCTGCAGAACATACTTTAGAAAATGCTCTTCTTCAAAATTGTATTAATGGCTACAAAGTATTTCAATATGTGACTATATTATAATTTTTAATCTATTATAAACAATATTGTGATGAATATCTTTGCAAATGATCCTTGTGTATACCCATGATTCTTTTTTCTATAGAGTTAAGAAATAAAAAAGCCTATTCTAATATATTTCTAAGTTCATTTGTATCATCAAAGTCTGATGTGGCTCATCTCTTTTGAATAGTTTACTTGATATTTGTGGAATCTTATGGCAACCAGTGATTGTGTTACTTATCAGCTTATGTTTCTGTACATACTTGTAACTGCTCTAACGATATTGAATTTATATATGTTTATATGTTTTGTTTGGTTTTTTTGGTGAATAGGGCCTTTTTTTTAAATCAACTATTAAAATTGAAGTATAGTTAATTTACAATGTTGTGTTTGTTTCATGTGTACAGCAAAGTGATTCAGAAAGATATATATATAGAGAAATATATGCTTTTTAGATTATTTTCCATTATAGATTATTACAAGATATTGAATATAGTTCCCTGTGCTATATAGTAGGCCCTTGTTGTTCATCTGTTTTTTATATAATAGTGTGTATATGTTAATCCCAAACTCCTAATTTATCCCTCTCCCCTCACTTTGGTAACCATGTTTGTTTTCTGTATCTTTGAGCCTATTTCTGTTTTGTAAATACGTTCATTTGTATTATTTTTTTAGATTACACATATAAATGATATGATATTTGTCTTCTGCTTTCTGACTTCACTTTGTATGATAATCTCTAGGGCCATCCATATTGCTGCAAATGGCATTATTTCAATTTTTAATGGCTGAGTAGTATTCCATTGTGTACTTGTATACCACATCTTTATCCATTCATGTGTTGATGGATATTTAGGCTGCTTCCATGTCTTGGCTATTGCAAATATTGTTGCTGTGAACATTGGGGTGCAGATGTCCTTCTAAATTAAGGTTCCCTCTAGATGTATGCCCAGGAGTGGGATTACTGGATCATATGGTAAGTCTATTTTTAGTCTTTTGAGGACTCTGCATACTGTTTTCCATAACGGCTGCACCAGACTACATTCCCACCAGCAGTGTAGGAGGGTTTCCTTTTCTCCACAGCCTCTCCAGCATTTATCATTTTTGGACTTTTTAATGATGACCATTCTGACTGGTACCATGCTGTTTTGATTACTGTAGCTTTGCAGTATAGTCTGAAGTCAGGGAACATGATTCCTCCTGTTCTGTTCTTCTTTCTCAAGATTGTTTTGGCTATTTGGGGTCTTTTGTGTTTCCATACTAATTTTTGGATTATTTGTTTATTTCTGTGACAAATGCCATTGGTAATTTGATAGGGATTGCACTGAATCTGTAGATTGCTTTGGGTAGTATGGTCATTTTAACAATATTGTTTCTTCCAGTACAAGAACTCAGTGTACCTCTCCGTCTGTTTGTGTCATCTTCAATTTCTTCCTTCACTGTGTATTGTTGAAGTAAGAATATTAACTATATCAAGCACATTTAAATTTTTTCTTACAAATATTTGCCACTTAATAACTAAGTAGATATGTAATTAAGGGAGCGTTTCTTCTGCAACTCTGGATGACTTTGTGAATAATTTTGAGTGGTTAGAAAAAAACATTTATGTCATAAAATCTTTAATTGAATAAACTAATGAAAATTTATTGGCTATGTTACTCTTTTCCTTAAATGTTCAATATGTAGTTTTAAAAATTTATGTACAATTGTGTTTGTAATTAGCAGTAGAGATGACCAAAGTTGGTGTGAACTGGATCCAGCTTGAACAAATGTGCAAGTCTTACATATTTTATTTCACTTCATAAATGGAGAGAGATACAGTGTAGTAAGCTTTTATGTCATGTGTTGACTGCTCTTCAAGCAGTAAAACAAAGATGGACTTTCAAATTCCCTATCTTTTTCACTGTTTTACTGATTATTTCTACTTTGATTATTGCAGTGGGGTCAGATGAACTGGATAGCTACATGTATCAGACGGTAGGTCATCACGCCATTGATTTGTATGCAGAAGCGATGGCTCTTCCCCTCTATCGCCGCACCATAAGGGGAAGGAGCATGGATACAGGACGAGTGTACACCAAATGTGAAGGTGATGAGGTTGAAGATCTCTATGAGCTTCTGAAACTTGTTAAGGTATGCCAAGTAACTAATCACAATTACTGAATTTACCATGTAATTTAATAAATTACATTTATTGAATTATTTAGTAATAAATAATTTACAACTCTTAGTAGCCCAACTATTCTTTGAAAGGATATTTTGTCTTTTTGGATAGAAAGTTGTTACTATGCCTTTATATTAAATAGTATTTAAAAATAGATCTTTTAGTACAGTATGGCACCCATGATTGTCAAATGATATTTAACTAAGTTTTCTTTCCCTTAGGATTTCGGAGCTGAATTTGGACCTTTCAATCATGTTTTTAGCAAATGCTTTTTGAATGCCTACTGTGTGCTTGTTACATATAGTTCTAGGCACTAGGAATAGGACAATGAACAGAAAAGTTCTGTTCTGTTGGAGCTTACTTTCCAGTGGAAGGAGACAGTCAGTAAACAAACAAATTATATGCTTGGTGGTGAAGAGTACTGTGAAAAAGGATAAAGCAATAGCGGGTGATGGCAGTGGGTGGTCAAGCAGGACCTTTCTGATATGGTGAAATTTAAATAAACCTAAAGAAAGTGAGAGACTAAGTTAGTGGAAGAGGAATGAATTAAATACTTAAGTCCCAGTATATAAGAGTTTGGCAGCCATTGTGCATTTATTGTTAATTTCTCTAGAAAGAAAATTTAGAAAAGGAAGTAGGGGGCTCATATATCTAGGAGGTATTATACTCAGTAAATGTTAATTAATAGAGATTCTTTTATATTAAGCAATTATCTTTTCTTTTTCATTGATAATCAACTATTTCAATACATTTCAGTATTCTTCTTAAATATGAATTTTATCCATTCAGCTACAGTCAATTCATATAAGGTGTATCTGATGAAATAGAATTAACCAGTATTTCCTTGATGTGTCAACATTTTTTCACAAAGGAAAGGAAGGAAGGTTTCTGTCCTTTCTTCTACCAAGGGACATTACATTTTATTTCTCATTCTTTAGAAAAGTTCAGCTTTTCAGAAGTTATGTTATGAACCCCTGTCATGAAAAAATTTTGATGCTGATAGCTACTTCAGTGTTGTACGTTAAATTTGATGCTGATCAAAGCTTAATATTAATTAAGGACTTGATTAAAAAAATAAATGAAGCTCTTTAATTCTTTTAAATTTGCAAATACTTCTTATTTTGTATGTCAGAACATTTCTATCTTTATTTACCCTTTAAAAAAGAAGCTGGTAGGTAAAAAACACGTACAGTAGTTCCATAATTTGCTGTTTAGGTATCAATAGCATAAGAGGTAGATACTTTTCAAAGGAAATCACAGGGACCTGGTTTCTTCCCTCTGGGAATTTGTGTACTAATAACAACTATTTTGATTATCAAAGGGGAAGGCATAAAAGAAATTTCACTTCTCTCCAAGTGGGCAACTGAGACATTGACAGTATTCACTTCGAGGTGTGAAATATTACAAATTCTACATTTTCAAATTTTCTTTTTCAGGGTAGAAAGAAACTAGGTATTAAGTTTTTAGCATAAACCAACATTACACAGTGGTAGGACTCAACAATAGAGGTAATCGAATTGCTTAAAAAATCACTGATAACTGATAACTTAGGAGGAGCTACGCGATAACAGCCTTCCGAGAAGGGGAAAGATAATAAATTACTAATCAATTTAATTAAAAATGGGCTGATTAGTAGTAATTAAGAAGAACTTTCTCTTTCAATCCATGCTGTCTTGGGAGAAATGGATGCTTTGCCATTATCTTTATAGTAACCGTCAGTTATGACATAAATTAATGCTAATGTTAAATCTTGACAACTTCTGCTTTGGAAGTTCGTACATGATAATTATAACTATAACTGAAAGAGATGTTATCAAGTTGTCTAGGACTAAATAATTCCTTCTTTTCCTGTGCAAAATACTAATTTTACTATAGGATATTCTCAGGACATAAATATTGGAAATATATTACTTTTATGGAAGGGATTGTATAACCAGGCTTTTATAGTTAAATCCATTTATGAAGCACTGGTGCAAAGATTCCAATAGCAGTCTTACATATTCTAATGAATAGTTGAGTAATTATGGGAAAAAAAAGGAATCCAGAAGAGCTATAATTCTTCAAGTTAGTCTTCACTCATTCTGAGAAAAAGATGGAACTGCATTTTTTAAAAGCCTTTGAATTTAATGAAGAATTGAAAACAGTTAGATTTATTTTTATTTTAAACATTTATTTATAACAGGTTGCAGTTTTGTGACTTTCATATGTAAGTCAGTCTTTTTTTGTTTTTGTAACTCTTTTCCCTCCCAAATACTGGAGCTAATTTTCGAGTAGGAGATAATTATTTTTGTAAAGAGTTTAGTTAAAACCAATTGCTGGAAAGAAATAGGAAAGACTTGGAAGAATTTATAGAATTAAAAATTTCCTAACTATTCTGTAGAAGTCATGAAAACTAATAGAAATAGAATAAGCCTCTATGTCTCATAGACTGGTGATTATGACAGGTAGATATATATGTGTATTTATGTATATGTATATATGTCAAGCTGTTTGTAAAATATCTGGTTTTCATATAGCTAGTCTTTTATTCTTTAGACTTTCCTTAATATTAAAATGCCACTTTGGTTCTCATCTGAATTAGTTTGGTACATAGATAACTTGTATGATTTCTTGAAAATGTAGTAATTTTTAAATACTGTGGATGTTTTCCTTTTAAGTCACATAAGCAATGTAATAGTTACTTAAGGATACATATGTACACCATATCTCTATTGAGAATGTGTATTGAGAATTAAGGATGTGTATTCTTCATTTTGAAAATGTTTTTATTCTGCCATCATATTTAATTTACACATTGGTTGAATTTAAAATTTTAGAATGAAAGTTGTTTTTCCTCAGATCATTGAAGGCATTGCTCCATTGGTCTTCGAGCATTTTGCTGATGGGAAGTTTGATGCTAATACGATTTTTGTTCCTTTTTAGCTGACTCATTTTTTTTCTCTGTTATTTTATGTAATTGTGACTTTATGTTTTATGTGCTGAAATGTCACAACAGTGCATTGAACATTGAAGGTGCTTCCCCTGTATCCCTTCTATTTAGTAGCAACACACTTCTGTCCTCTTTCCCTTAATGATGGTTGAGGGATAGCATTAATGCAGGTGAAAGCCATTCATATCATGGCTTTCTCCTGGCCATCGTGTAACCTACGTTGTACCAAATAGAATGAAGCCTAAGTTGTTGGATCATTGACAGAAGATAAGGTCTTTGTCCCAAGCAGAGGGATGTGTGGATGTGAGACCTTGAACTACTAATTTTTTTTTTTTGAGGGAGCAGAATGTGTTGTCAAATCTAACACACCAAAAATGGTAGAGACAATAGAATTGCAGCCTGAGGATGGCTCTTCAGAATCCTCTTCCGTTATTTGTTTGTTAATTTACTCCTCTTGCCTTTTAAATTCCCTTTTGCTGGTACTCTAACTGGTCAGACATTAGACCTCCTAGATTGAATTTTCATATCTCTTGTATTTTCTCACAAATTTTCCATCTCTGTATCTTTTTGTTGTACATTCTGTGAGGTTTCTTTTTTAAATGCCTTACTTTCTTGTTGAGTTTTTTTTTTAATTTTAGTAATCATATTTTCAATAGCCAGGAACTTTACTTGTTTATTGATTGTTTCTTTTTTTATAACAACCTGTTTCTCCTTCTATAGGTGTAACATCCCTACATCCCTCTTAAAATACAGATTAGAGATTTTAAGCATTGTCTTTTGTTCCCTGAAATATTAGTGTTTTCTTTGAGGTCTTTTTTTCTCATTTTTTTTTTTTTTCTCTTTCATGTTGTAGGCTTTTCTCAAATGTTCCAGTTGCTTGGTCATATCTAAGAATAAGGCAAGAGAAAAGCTGACTCTGAACACTTTTGCCTTTAGAGTTTTTCCAGCCTAACATTTTATACTTGTTATACCTGGAGTTCAGGATAATGTGGTTCGATTTGATTTCTTTCTTTGCTTTCCTCTCTTCCAACAAACAGTGGGTTACAGCTTCCTCTGTTAATTTATTAATCATTGTTCCTTCTTCATCTGATTTCTGACTCAAGAAACTAATTGAAATCCCTTTTCCATTGATGTCTTTCCCCTGTTTTCTTTGTTTTTTTTTTGAAGTTTATAACTTTGTTCTCGTTTTAATGAAATTTCTTGATTCATAAATCTATGCTAACTTTATTCTAATGGAATTCACTTAATATTCTTTCCTAAGTTGAATATTTAGTTTCAGTCTTCCTCTTTTAATCTTTGGTACTTTTCTTTTCTCATGTTCCTTTCCTCATTAGGCATTTTATCTTTGTATTGATGATGCTAAATTACTTAGTGGACACTTGTTTGAATACAACAATACATGAATGATTATCTTTTTTCTTTTTTAAAATAGAATAGTTAACTGTTGATAGAAAGGTTTGTGAATGATTGATTTTTAAAAATTATTTTTAGGAAACATCAGGTGCTGCTTTACTCTTTGTACTGGTTAAAATTCTTTTGATTACAAGGAACAGAAAGTCATGGTCAAGCTGGTTTAAATAAAAAGGGAATTTGCTGACAATAACCTAAAGATAAGTTTGGCTTCAAGTAGATTAGATACAAGACACAAATTATGTGATCAGCGTCATTTTTTCCCTTGTTTTTATCTCTTGCCTTTACTTTCTGTTGATTCTGTTCTCAGTCTGGACCCTTGTAGTTAGAGGATGGGTCACCGTTACATTCTTCCTGGTTCATATCTAGTAGGAAAAGCTCCTATCTTAAATAGCTCAAAGGAATATTATGTTTCATTGTCACTCAGTGGCCTAACTTGTATCATCCACAAGCCAGTTGTTGTTGGGAGATGATTTCATTGGATTGGACAGGTCTAGATTGTGAGCCATTCCTGGAGTGAGAGACTGAGTCATGATTACTGGAACCACATTGTCTATGGTTCTATGGGAAGAACAGAACCCACTGGTGGAAGGCAGATCTGCAAATATAAAGCAGGCTGGTATAAGGTGA